TAAAAGCCATGAGGATCCCTTGGTAAAATTGTGGTTCTCGTGGGATTGGTTATGTTATTATTATTTAAGGAATTAGGGAGATTTGGGTGGATGCGGTGGCTGTGATGCCTGTAAGGCCCCGCACTTTGTGAGGCTGAGGTGGGTGGAACACCTGAAGGTCATGGAGTTTGAGACCAGCCTGCGCCACATATGTGAAACACTGTCTCTTACTTAAATGCAAAAAGTTAGCCGGGCACTTGTGGTTGGGCACCTGTAGTCCCAGCTACTGTGTTGGGAGCTGGAGGCAGGGAGAATTGCTTGACCCGGGGAGGCAGGATGGTTGTAGTGAGCCGAGATTGGTGCCACGGCACTCCAGCCTGGGGCAACAGAGCAAGACTCCCATCTCAAAAAGACAAAAAGCCAGACATTGTGTACAGCGCCTGTAATCCCAGCTACTTGGGAGGCTGAGGCAGGAGAATCGCTTGAACAGGGAAGGTGATTGAATCGGAACTGAGATTGCGCCAGTGTAACGTAGTCTGGGCAACAGAGTGAGGACTCCTATCTGTGCCTCTCGGATAGACAGACAAATGCTTACAGTGCTCGCTCTCTCAGCTAGGTATCATATGATTTAGAAACGGGGAGGATGTGTCTGTGTTGCAGGAGTAATAATGCCAGTGAACCCGAGCGAATGCTGCAGTGAGTCGAGATCACGCCCCTGTACTGCTATGTCCAGATGGTCGACAGACGGAACTCCATCCTCAAAAAAAAAAAAAAAAAAAAAAAAAAAAAAAAGCCGGGCGGCGTGGCTCTAAGCCTGTAATCCAGCCTTTGCCTACTCAGCGGGCCGAGACAGGGTGGATCACAGGTCAGGGAGATCAAGACCATCCTGCTTAACACGTGAAAACCGCCCCATCTGCTACGCGTTAAAAAAGCAAAAAAACTAGCCCCGGGCGGAGGGTGTGGTGTGGGCGCGCCTGTGAGGTCCCCAGGCTACTCGAAGGCTGATGGCAACGAGAATTAGCGTGAAGACCCAGGAGGCAGGAGTTGCCAGTGAGTGAGATGTCGCCACTTGCACCCAGCTCTGGGCGAGGACGAGCCGGAGAGCTGGCTGTCTCAAAAAACAAAGAAAAAAAAAAAAAGAGAGATACTTTTTCTCATACTGTTAACGTGCTCCATCCTGAGGCCCCCTCCTGTGCCGTCCTCAGCCTGAAATTGCTTTCTCCTGCCACGGAGAGCTCATTACCTCTCAAGACCCCTCCTCCCGCCACGGGGAGCACTTACATTGCAGATGCCGGCCCGGCGGGCGAGCACACCGGTGCACACGTTATTGGGACGACACCGGTCCTCGGGGATCACGGTCACGTTGACGAACCTGGGAAAACGAGAGAGACGCCCCCCACTACGCCGGGTCCCCCAGCCGGCCACCTGGCATCTGGTACCGGCTTCCACCGTGGCGTCCTGCAGGGGCAGTGCCAGTATTGCCACGCTGCTGGTGAGGTTGGCCTCGCGGTCCAGCTGGGGAAGGAAACGGAGTCAGGGAAGGGTGGCCCTGGGAACTGGAGCCTCATGGGCCCCCTGGCAGCAGAAGTGTCAGGGACATGAATTGTAATCTGTAAGTGGTTTGCATTTAATTCCCGGCAGGTGCCGGGCGCAGTGGCTCGTGCCTGTATTAGCACGTTGGGAGACCAAGGTGGGAGGATCCCTTGAGGCCAGGAGTTTGAGACCAGCCTGGCCAACAAGGTGAAACCCCCTCTCTACTTTAAAAATTTTTTTTATATTATTTTTGAGATCATTTTATCATTTTCTCAAAGAAAAAATCAAAAATGAAAAACATTCACTTGGTTCTGTTACAACAAAAGCATCTCAAAACGGCGTCAGTTTCCACCAACAGGAGGCTCCGTACGTGCACTGTGGTACATCTGTGTGTTTTGCTGTTTTTCTTTTTTTTCTTCCTTTTTTTTTTTTTAAGTTTTTTTTTTTGAGACAGGGCCTGGCTCTGTCCCCAGGCAGGAGTGCAATGGCACAATCCCAGCTCACTGCAGCCTCAACCTCCCGGGTTCCAGTAATTCTCCTGCGTCAGCCTCCTGAGTAGCTGGGACTACAGGCGCCCGCCACCACGCCCGGCTAATTTTTGTATTTTTAGTAGAGACGGGGTTTCACCATGTTGGCCAGGCTGGTCTCAAACTCCTGACCTCATGATCCACCTGCCTCAGCCTCCCAAAATGCTGGGATTACAGGCGTGAGCCACCGCGCCCTTGTTTTTTCATAGAGACCGAGTTTGAACGTGTTTCCCTGGCTAATGTCGGCCTCCTGAGGTGCTGGGGCCACAGGCGTGAGCCCCACACCAGCCTCTCACCTGAAGCAGCACCAGGTCGTTCAGGTTCTGCTGGGGGTCATAGCGGTTCTCGCTCATGCTGCTGATGGAAAACGTCTGGCGGGACCGCCTCTCCCGCCGCCTCAGGTCATAGGCGCCCAGCACCACGGCGACAGTCCCAGGGTTCCTGAGAGCAGTGGAGGAAAGGGCAGAGGGAGGACACCAGGCTGGGGCCTGGGCACGGGGCAAGCCGGCTTGCAAATTAGGGGGGATCCAGCCTGCAGACTGAATTCCTTCACCCTGAGAACTCCCCTCCTTTTACAGAAGCGGAGCCGAGACCCTCCAGGGCCCCCTCCCCATCCTGAGCCCCTTCCCTTCTCTGGGCCTCCTCCATCTGAGCCCCTTCCCTTCTCTGAGCCTCCTCCATCTGACGCCCTTCCCTTCTCTGAGCCTCCTCCATCTGACGCCCTTCCCTTCTCTGGGCCTCCTCCATCTGACCCCCTTCCCTTCTCTGGGCCTCCTCCATCTGACCCCCTTCCCTTTTCTGAGCCTCCTCCATCTGAGCCCCTTCCCTTCTCTGCCTCCTCCATCTGACGCCCTTCCCTTCTCTGGGCCTCCTCCATCTGACCCTCTTCCCTTCTCTGAGCCTCCTCCCCCTTCCCTTCTCTGGGCCTCCTCCATCTGACCCCCTTCCCTTCTCTGGGCCTCCTCCGAGTCCCCCAATATTCTTGGGTCCCTCCTCAACTCATTCCCCATTTCCCTCTCCAAGCCCCCTCCTTTTCCTGAGCCCCTCCTTTTACAACCCCCTCCCCTCCTCACCTACCAAGCACCCCCACTGAATCCCCTAAGCCCCCCAAGCCCCTTCTCTGAGCCCCAGTGCCCCCCAGGCCCCCTCCCCAGGCCCGCCTCACTGGTTTCGGAAGCAGCTGGCCGCGCTCATCACGAAGCGGGGATGGATCAGGGCACCCCCACAGAAGTGCCTCCCTTGATTCTGGATGGAGGCCAGGAATGGGAACTGGCGGGGTCTCGCCTTCCGGCCGCCCACGATGTCCGCGAGGGGGCTGGAGCCTGGGTCGGGGGAGGCAGCTCTGAGATCCCAGAGAACCCACCCAGTGGCCGGGAGGGCGTGTGAAGCTCCAGCCCCAGCTCCATCCACACAGTGGGGCTACAGGAGGACCCACCCTCCCCCATCGTCCCACTCCCTAAAAGGACAGGTGGGCCCTGAGTCCCACACACCCTCCGTCCGCACGCCTTTCCCGGAACTGTCCAGGCCGGGATGGCTGTGTGACCCGGGCCAAGCCGCTTGCCTTCTCTGTGCCTTGAGTCTGAGCTCTGCCCCGGCAGCCGTGCCCCCAGCACAGACTGGGGACCACTTGGCACACACAGGCACTCACCGGCCCTCGAGGACACCAGAAGACCAGCCAGCAGGGCCAGGACTGTCAGCCGGGTCATGGCGGAGCAGCTCTGTGGCTAAGGCGGTGGCCGCCCTTATACATGGGCCTCGGCAGTTGGGGGCGTTCCCGCCCAGGCCCAGGGATAGCCCCACTTGGGAAGTTGCCCAAGGTCTCCACCGCCAACTGCTCCCCGGGCCAGCCTGGGCTCCCCCGACATCCCGCGCTCACCCTCAGTTTCCCCTTCTAGAAGATGGCCGCACCCTCAGGGGCAGATGAGGGTGACAGGAACCAGTGGATCCCGGGGCCCAGCACACGGCGGGAATGCAGTGGCACCCAGCAGACACCAGCCACGCTGCCAGCTCAGAGTCCCGGTCTCCCCATCCCAAGCCACTGGGGCTCCACCACTGCCCACTGGGCCTGGCACCAGGCCTGCGTTGAGTCCTGCAGGTCTGCATGGGTGATTATCATTATTATTATTATTATTATTTTGAGATGGAGTTCCCCTCTTGTCGCCCAGGCTGAGTGCAATGGCGTGATCTCAGCTCACTGCAACCTCTGCCTCCCAGGTTCAAGTGATTCTCCTGTCTCAGCCTCCCAAGTAGCCAAGATTACAGGCGCCTGCCACCACACCTGGCTAATTTATTGTATTTTTAGTAGAGATGGGGTTTCACTATATTGAAACATGGCTTTCTCCATGTTGGTCAGGCTGGTCTCAAACTCCCGATCTCAGGTGATCCACCTGCCTCAGCCTCCCAAAATGCTAGGATTACAGGTGTGAGCCACTGTGCCTGGCTGGGTGATTTTTTTTTAACCTTTTCAACAGCTTTATTGAGATGTAATTGTCAAACCAGGCACGATGGCTCCTGCCTGTAATCCCAGCACTTTGGGAGGCCAAGGCAGGCAGATCACCTGAGGTTGGGAGTTTGAGACCAGCCTGGCCAACATGGTGAAAGCCCATCTCTACTAAAAATTTAAAAATTAGCCAAGTGTGGTGGTGCACGCCTGTAATCCCAGCTACTTGGGAGGCTGAGGCAGGAGAATCGTTTGAACCTGGGAGGCAGAGGTTGCAATAAACTGAGATCTCGCCTTTGTCCTCCAGCCTGGGTGACAGAATGAAACTTCATCTCAAAAAAAAAAAAAGATATCATTCACCTACGACAAAATTCACCCATTTAAAGTGTGCCATTCGGGGATTTTGAGCATCTTCATGGATCTGTGCCGTTATCACCACAGTCAGTTTTAGGATATTTTCATCACCCGCAAAAGAAATCCCGACCAGGCTGGGCACAGTGGTTTATGCCTGAAATCCTAACATATTGGAGGCCAAGGCAGGAGGATCGCTTGAGCTTAGGAGGTTGAGACAAGCCTGGACAACACAGTCAGACCCTGTCTCAAAAATAAACAAATAGAGCCCAGCCAACATGGTGAAACTTTGTCTCTACAAACAAAACAAAACAAAAATTAGCCAGGTGTGGGATTGGCGCGGTGGCTCACGCCTGTAATCCCAGCACTTTGGGAGGCTGAGGCAGGGGGATCACCTGAGGTTGGGCGTTCAAGACCAGCCTGACCAACATGGAGAAACCCGTCTCTACTAAAAATACAATATTAGCCAGGCGTGGTGGCACGTGCTTGTAATCCCAGCTACTTAGGAGGCTGAGGCAGGAGAATCACTTGAACCTGGGAGGCGGAGCTTGCAGTGAGCCGAGATCGCGCCACTGCACTCCAGCCTGGGTGACAGAGCGAGACTCCATCTCAAAAAATAATAATAATAAAAATAAAAATAAAAAATAAAAACAAATAAAAAACTACATAAAAATAAAGACGAAATGTCCAGAACAAGCAAATCTGCAGAGGCGGGAAGTGGATCTGTGGTTGCCAGGGGCTGGGGGAGGGGAGGGGAGTGAGGGGAGGGGAGTGATGGCTGACGGAGACGGGGCTTCCTTCTTTGGGGTGATGGAATGTTCTGGGACTGGACGGCGGTGATGGTTGCACAACTCAGTGAATGCACCGAAAACCACTTAACTGTACCGTTCAAAGTGGCTAACTTTATGTAAATTTCATCTCCTTTTTTTTGTTTTTTTTAGAGTCAAATTCTCGCTGTCGCCCAGGCTGGAGGGCAGTGGCATGATCTTGGCTCACTGCAGCCTCAATCTCCTGGGTTCAAGTGATCCTCCTGCCTCAGCCTCCCGAGTAGCTGGGACCACAGGCGTCCACCATCACACCCGGCTAATTTTTGTCTATTTTGTAGAGCTGGGATCTCACTATGTTGCCCAGGGTGGAGTGCAGTGGCAGGATCTCAGCTCGCTGCAGCCTCCGATTCCCCGGTTCCAGCAATCCTCCCGCCTCAGCCTCCCGAGTAGCTGGGACCACAGGCGCCCGCCACCATGCCTGGCTAATTTTTGTATTTTTTTTTGCAGAAGTGGAGTCTCACTATGTTGCCCAGGCTGGTTTGGAACTCCTGACCTCAAGCAATCCACCCGCCTCGGCCTCGGAAAGTGCTGGGAGCACAGGTGTGAGCTACTGCATCCAAACTTACCTCCATTTTCTACCACGGGGCTCACTTCCAAGGTGAAACTGAGGTCTGCGGCTTACCGTGTCCCCCACACCCTTGGGGACACCAGTTTGTGTCTGGGTCTGTGGGGCCCCTTTGAGGGTAGTTTACCCCTCCAAGGGGCACATACGGGGAGAATCCAGGGAGGCGGGGCCAGTGTGCCTTGAGGTCTGCTGCCCATCCCAGGGTAGGGTCCCAGGGCTCAAATCCGGTCTCCACTGAGCCTCACAGCCCAGCCACCTCACAGGGTCCACGGCACAGCCCTCAGACCCCTGCCTCCATCCAGGCCAGCTCTCCCTCTTCGCCCACCCCAGATCCCACCTGTCCATCTTCCCGACTGAGGCCCCAGCCTCCATCCACCCTGTCCTGGCCAAACACGGGCCTCAGCTCTCCCGTGGGCCAGGCCCCATTTCCTCTCACCGGGAGCCCGAAGCTCTGTCCTTCCCAGTCCTGTGACCTCAGGGTGAGCCCGTCTGCACGTCAGTGTGCCCTGCAACAGGGACAGACCCTGCCTTGTAGACAAAGCAGTGCCTAGCATGGAGTGGGTTCTTATTTCTAAAAGTTTTTGAGGCCGGGTATGGTGGCTCACGCCTGTAATCCCAGTGCCTTGGAAGGCCGAGGTGGGAGGATCACTTGAGCCCAGTAGTTTGAGATCAGCCTTGTCAATATGGTGAGACCCTAACTCTATTAAAAAAAAAAAAAAAAAAGAGGCTGGGCTCAGTGGCTTACCTGTCATCCCAGCACTTTGGGAGGCCGAGGCAGGCGGATCAGCTGAGGTCAGGAGATCAAGACCAGCCTGACCAGCATGGGGAGATCCTGTCTTTACTAAAAATACAAAAATTAGCCAGTCGTGGTGGCAAGCACCCATAATCCCAACTACTCAGGAGGCTGAGGAAGGAGAATCACTTGAACCCAGGAGGTGGAGGTTGCAGTGAGCTGAAATTGCACCACTGCACGCCAGCCTGCGGAACAGAGCAACAGTCCATATCAAAATAATAGTAATAATAATAATAATAATTTTTATTTATTTATTTATTTTTTAAATTTTTTGAGACGGAGTCTCGCTCTGTCCCCCAGGCTGGAGTGCAGTGGTGCAATCTCGGCTCACTGCAAGCTCCGCCTCCCGGGTTCACGCCATTCTCCTGCCTCAGCCTCCTGAGTAGCTGGGACTACAACCCCTGCCACCACGCCCGGCTAATTTTTTTTTGTATTTTTAGTAGAGACGGGGTTTCGCCGTGTTAGCCAGGATGGTCTCGATCTCCTGACCTCATGATCCACCCGCCTCGGCCTCCCAAGGTGCTGGGATTACAGGCGTGAGCCACCGCACCCGGCTAATAATTTTTAAATAAAGTTTTTGAGCAGCATCTGGTATGCTTAACCCCTCCGGCCTGCTATGAACTTTGCCATGGCTCCCTATTGCCCCACACTCAAGCCCAGGCCCCTCAGCCAAGCCATGTGCCCTCCATGGCCAGGCCTGCCCCTTTTCCACTACTGGCGATCCTAGGGTGAGAAGATTCTGAGACTCCCCCAGATCCTCTGTTGGACCCCCAAGCCGTCAGGTGGGTTCCCCTGCACACCCTCCCACTCCTGACCCCGAAGCCTCCCGAAAAGTAATTGCATTTTTCCTCCTCCTCCCCGGAGAGCTGTTTGTGGCCACCTTGCAACACCCAGATTCCCAACGGTCACCCTGGCCCCACCCCTCACAGGCCGCGGCAGGCAACGTCCGTCCCCCTTCTCCAGGGCCACTGGGGAGAAACGGGATCACATCGAATGGGACCCACCTGTGACCATCTGCTCACAGGGCCTCCCCGAGCCCCTCTGCAGGAACCCCGGGGGCCAAAGACCCCTCCCCAGGCAGTCCGTGCAGTCCTGTCCCAGGAAGCAGGGCCACCTCTGAGTCTGCCCAAAGGTAGCAGCACCGTTGAGTTCCCATCCTATTCCCATCACCATTTAACTGTTCCCGCATTTATGGTGGGCGACCCTGTTTCCAGGGGGCAGCAGTGCCTGTTATGAGCAAACTAAGGCATCCGGCAGGGCTCCAACCCTCTGGAAGTCACTTTTTTATTTTTCTATTTTTCAGACAGAGTCTCCTCTGTCGCCCAGGCTGGAGTGCAATGGCGCCATCCGGGTTCACTGCAACCTCGGCTTCCCAGGTTCAAGCAACTCTCCTGCCTCAGCCTCTCATGTAGCTGGGATCACAGGCGCCCATCGCAGCGTTTTTCACAAAAATCGTTTCTTTGGGCGCGTGCTTCGGGGTGGCTCAAGGCCTGCTAAAGTGCCGCCCTTTGGGCAGGCGCTGCCGCCCCCGAGCGCGGGCGGATCACGAGGCCCCGAGGAGTCTTCGAGACAGCCTGGCCAGACATGGTGAACCCCCGTCTTACTCGAAAATACACAAAATAGCCGGGCGTGGTGGCGGCACCTGGTAATCCCCAGCTACGTCGCGGGCTGGGCAGAGAATCCGCTTGACGCCGGGAGGCGGGAGGTTGCGTCGGAAGCTGAGATGCCCATCACTCCGCGCCTGCTGCGCCTGGGCCACACAGAGCCGAAGGCTCCGGCCTCTCAAAGCCAAAAAAACAAAATGACGAATGACTCTTCCCGGGCTGGGCACGGGTGGCTCCAGGCCTGTAATCCAGCCCGGCATTTTGTGAGGCCAGAGGCCGGAGGTCCCCCTGCACTGAGGGCCAGGCGTTCGACGCCCAGCCTGGCCCACCATGGTGAACCCATCTCTACTGAAAATCTAAGATTAGGGCCCGGCGGCGGTGGCGTCACGTCCTGTTCCACAGCACTCTTGGAGGCCCCGGGCCGGTGGACTCCGACAAGGTCGCAGGAGTTCGGAGACATCCCGCTGGGTACCACGTGGTGAAGACCCGTCTCTCTAAAACTTACAGAAAAATTAGCCCGGGCGTCGGGTGGCGGCGCGCTGCTGAGTCCCGCCAAGCCTACTTGGGGAAGCTGAGGCAAGGAGAATGGGCACTTGAACCCCTGGAAAAGGTGGCAGTGGAGCTTCGGCGTTGGAAAGCCAAGATTGGCACTGACCTCCGCCCTGGGCGACAGAGCAGGACTTCATCTCAAACCGAAAAAAAAAAAACACAAACTTACCAGGGCCGGGTGGGTGGCTCAGCTGCTACTCCCCCGCACGTTTGGGAGGCCCGGAGACGGGGCGGATCCACGAGGCCGACTCAGGCAGATCAAGCCGCCACCAATC